CGGCAACTGGCTGAACGGTCAATCTGCGCCCAGAAATTACGATGCGAAATCCCGATGCATCGCCCAAGGTCTTCGCGACCCCGACGTCGCTGTGCTCGGCCGTGCCGCGCCCGCGCCTTCGACGTCGGGCGTCGCTCTTGCTCTGCAATGTTTGTCCCCCGTCGAGGTGAAGACCTGGGTCGGCGATGTCAAGTCCGCATTTGCGCGGGCCTCTGGGATCAGCGGGGGGGGGGGGCTCTTCTTTCCCCCCCCCGCGGGCCGGGGTGGCATTCCTGGAGGGAACCCGAACGATTGGATCGTTTTTGAGTTGCTGACGCAAGTTTACGGATTTGTCGCCGGCCCTCCGGACTGGCGGAGGTGCTTTCTGACAGCTTTCAAGGAATGCTTTTTTACTCGTCACTCTCTCGCGCCGTGCGTCACGATGATGCACGAGGCGCTCGATGGGCGCCAGAGGCAATTCTCCGGGCTCGTTGTCATCGGAACAGATGATGCGTTGGGAGGCGGCATTGTAGACAATATGTTCGATGCCATTTCGCGCCCTCGCAAGCGCTTCAAATTCGGGAACTGGGCAGCATTTCCGGGTGACGTTTCTGAGTGCGGCGGGCGCATTTTACGCCGCCGCAAGAAGTTCGACACCGCGATCTTCAAGGCGCGGTGCCTTGCAGAACGGGCACGACCAAGTAACGTGCCATGCGGACGCCACAAGAACCCTGAATCCCAGGCAACGCTGGAGGAAGTAACTGCCATGCGTGGGCCGTGGGAAACTCGACTGGGCGCCCCGAGAGGGCGTGCCCAGCGTCTTTGGAGACGCGTCTCTCCTGCGCAGAACTTTGCCCAACTCCCAGGTCAAAGATCCCATCGGGGCCAGTGCCGCCCTGCGGCGCCTCAAGGACGCGCGTGCGACGGTCGCCATTAAGTCCGCGCCCTCCTCTCGACTCCGTCTGGTCGCTCTGTGCGACTCTGAACTGGACCCCAAGGGTGCGGGGCAGGGGCGTTGTCAGACAGGCAGCGCGATCTGCGCCGCAGATCAGGACCTGCTTGTTGGCGAAGAGACAGGCGTTAGCATTTTCGCGTGGCGCCCCCGCAAGACTGAGCGCGCTGGAAGTTCGCCTGTCGCGGTGGGGGCCGACGCCGCGTCCAGAGGACGGGCCGAGGCCCAACGGGTTACTTTTCGGATTTATGTTGCTGGGGATTTCCAGCGTGAGCTCCGGGGCCGACGCGCCGCGAACCGAGAACTCCGAGTGGCGACCATCATGGAGCTGAATCCCGACCGGGATAGGATCACCATGACCGACGCCAAGTCACTAGACGACTGTACCGACCAGGAGCAGCTTGCATCCACCAGGGTCGGGCGCAGGGTCCGGGCAATGGTGTCTTTATGTGCCATGCATGGGCGATGCATCCTCGCTTGCTGTGTTCGACGGGGGAACCAGTTGAAGCTTCCCGCCGGCGCCCATGCGCGAGATTGGAGGGTGAACGAAGCAAGGGGGCGGGGGGCTCGGGAAAGGCGACGAAGGCAACGTGCGCTGAGGGCGTTTGAAAAAGAGTGGAATAAACGAAAGCGGTGAAGTGAATGTCAAAATCTGCACCGCCAATCTGACATGCGGAACACTTCGCCTCAGTTTTGGGGATCTTGAAGGCCAGGGCAAAATGTGAATTCACATGGTGGGGAAAAGCAAAATGTGAGTCCACACTCGGGGAAAAGTGGAAGTGTGAACTCACATGTAGGAAAACAGGAACATGTGAATTCTCACTTTGGAATCTTGTGTAGGAATCGTTATGAAGGGGCCAGAATGTGAATTCACATTTTGGAAAGTAGGGAAATGTGAATACACATCTTGAAAAAATTCGAAAAGTGTGAATCCACATTTTTGGAGAATCGCGGGACCCATTCCGAATATGTCTTAGGGGTCGACAAGTCATCGTTTGGGAACATACGCGACCTTTCATCGCGCAATCAAGACACACTTGCACTCCACTTCGCCGCCCCACGCGCAATGTGCAATAATGCCCGAACGCATGAACGATAGTGGATCGACGGCGCGTTTGCCCGCGCGGGCAACGCGAGGGCGCGGGCGACTGGCCCTCCATGAACACCAACGTTGGATGAAAATTGTACCCGATCACATACGTGAGCGATACGTTGAGCATACATGGGCCATTCAGCCCCCATTCAAGACACCCTGTTGCAGACCCCTTCTTTCACCCTCCAAGAGCAGCTTTGGAGATTGCGGTTGTTCGGGATTGCTCGGGAGATCTCGGCGGTAAGTGACGCTGGTTCCCACATGAACTTGACCCCGCGGGCGGTTTGACTATGCTGAAGGGCAACGTGCCAGCCGCTGTTGCAATTTATGCAGACGGCTAAATAACGCGAGGGGAACAGAAACATGGAGCGGTGGAAAGGTTATCGATTGGCTTTTGGGAAACGCAATTCGAGACCGAACATGTCGAGGATGACTCCTCTGACCAGCACCTCGTCGTCTCGCGCCTCTCCTCCTGCGCCTCCGAGACGTTCCGCTTCCGCGACTCAGCCCGCGACCGATCTGCTCTTTCGACTTGCGATTCCGTCCATTATCTTCCCCGTGAAGCACTTGTTGGATTCGCGCCCTCATGTTGTCATGCGCCGCTGCTCACTGCCGGCGACGTCGGTTCCCTGGCCGAGATTCCCCTAGCCCGCGGGGCCATTCCGTCCAAGGAGTCAGAACCAGGATCGTGGATCAGTCTGCTCGGGCCCCCCACCTCGGGGGGCGAACAGGTGGACTTCGACGGCGACGAGGAGTTCTACGATCGCGAGGAGACCTGCGACACGGCGGACGAAGAGGAGGCCAGCTCGGGCGGACTTTCGGCTGGAGCGGCCGATGACCCCCGAGCTGGTTCTCAAAGTCCTCTACGATAGGCCGAGGGCCCAGCGCTAGCTGCGCCTGGCTCTGGTCGCCCCATCATGGCTCTCCTCCAGCAGCTCCGAGAAGAAAGAAGGCGACCGCAGTGCACGAGGGGCATCGGGACTACCTTCAGAGAGCTCTGGAAGAGACACGACCAGACGCGAGTCACAGGGGCCCCGTGGGAATGGGCGCTCCAGGAACCTGATGTCGACGAGGCGCTGCGCAGTCAACGGCGTGAATCCACCGCCGCGCGTCATCCTTGCGCTCGGCGTCGCTGTGGAGGTCGACGGGCCGTGGTGTCGCCGCTAGCGAATTTCTGGAGCGACGGGGTGAACTGCGAGTCGATGCAGGACGCTGGCGATGGTCACCCCGCGCCAGGAACAGCGCATGCTGGAGCTTCTGGGCGCAGGGGCCTTCGCGCGCCAGGCCGAGAACGAGAACCAGGCCTGGAGGGTTGAATTTGGTATTACCAAACACTCGACAAGCACGTGGAGAGCCTCGCCCTTCTTCATTCCGTTCCTACCGAATGGATGTCTTCGGAGTCTCTCCCGAACATTCGCCATCGTCGAGGCTGCGTTGCGTTTCTGATGGCCACCAGTCAGAATCTCGAGGCGGAGCTTCGTCGACTGAAGACATCACGGACAGCGTGGAAGCGCATGAAGGAGGACCGCTGTCTCGGAGGCTGGTGCTTGCTGCTCTACGTGCAGTTGGAAATCATACCCGTGCTGATGCTCAGCAGCTCAAGCTCGACCGCTACCTGGGATTTGTTCAGGCCACGAATGCATTGGTTCAGCGGCGATGCGAAGCAGCGACAGGCCTCGCTCAAGCGAGAAAGCAGCTCGAAATGCTCGAGACCAACGTCACGGAGATCGCGGCTCCAGACGCGGTTGGAGGTGACGAAGCTGGCTACGCGCAGGGTCTTCCGAACTTGGATTCTCGCTTTGCTGTGAGATCAGAGATGCGGCGCGTTTAACTGGCTAGAATGAAACAGCTCTCGCAGTCATGATGCAACTTTCACGCCTGGAATGTTTGGAACGAATACTTCAAGAAGATGCTGCGGGCGTGGGTCCATCGGGCCAACTGTGCCCGCAAGGGCGATCTCCAACTTCTGCGTGCTGGCCGATCTGGATGAAGTCGCCGCGGGGCCAAAGCGCCTCCGAGAGCCGACTAGGCTGACTTGGGTCGGACTGCTCTCGGCAAACGTCCTCGACCTCTGACCACAGAAGCAGTCGAAGCGAAGAGTGCCAAGAACCAGAGACGCCGCTTGCGGAAGGAGAGCGCGGGCCAGACTAAACAGGGGGAGGAAGTCATCGAGTTTTTTTTCCAGCGGTGGCGATGATGCGCGCGAGGAAGATCCCAGCCGTGGATCGCCGGGCGGAGCGGTCGGTCACGACCCAGCTTGCGATTTCTTGCAGCAGTTTGGGGCGCCGTGCGAAGTCTGTCTTGAGGCGAGGCTCACGGCCGAAGCGCAGGCCAAGTAAGGCGCCGGCTGCCGCGCCCTCGCCCGCTCCGCCACCAGCTCAGGAGTTTGCCGCTCCAGAAGCGAGCGCCGACCCTGTCGTGCCGACCCAGCTGCCTGGCTCCAGGCCAGCACTCCCCAGGCCGAGGTGCGTCGGATCTGTCGGCATCTACGTTCTGGCTGTTAACGCCAAGGACAGCATGTCCGTCTTGGTCCCCCGTCGGAGCGAGAAGGTGGGTTCGCCGTTCACATCGCCGCGCCAGGCGTAATTGCCGATCAGAGGGACATGGGCGTTGCCGAGGAGCGCGACAGGGGCTTGCATTGCACCGCTAGATTCGCAGCCTGCAGTGAGCTCAAGGAGGGGTCTGGATTGGAGGTTCACCCGGGCGCCCTGGTGTGGATACTACTTTAATTGAGAAGACGACCGAGCGGAGACGCATGAACGACGGGATTTCCTTCACCGAGTATCCTCAGGTCCCTGGACCACAAGGGCGGTTTTACAATGAAGTGGTGTACCGCGGCTGCTGGCATCCGAGGAGTTGCAGCGGGGGAGGCCTGCCACGTCTGGGTCGGCATCGATTCGATGACCTCATCCAGCTGGGGGGTTTTCTTCAGTGGTGCCTGTTACTATTGTTGCCGTTGAGAAGCACTTGGCCGAGATGTTGGCGGTCCGTCATGAATATGCGAGAAGCAGCGCGTTCCACTTGCGGGCGAACCTGTCAATGGCGAAGCCTGCCGCCGAGGCCGCGCATATCGCTTACTCGTGCGACATCTTCGATGGCCGCATTGTGAGCGACATCCTGAAGCAGCGCGAGGGCAACAACGACTACTCAGCGCCGATGGCCCACTATGCGGCATGCGCGGAAGAGGAAGAAGCAAAATCCGCGAAGGCCCACCGTTCCACGTCCATGGCTCCTTCGGGTCTCGCCCAGCGGATTAGTTCGCTCTGCGGGACCTCCAGGGCCCACCAGTCTGGATCCACGACGTGCTGGAGGTCGCCAGCATCATGATTGACGACGACCTTCCGAAGATTGGCGAGAATCTTTGGCGTAAGCACCACGACGAGACGAGGCTAATCAGCGCCGGCTGGGGGGGGGCTGGTGAATCGCGTCGACCGGGTCGTTGAGGGCCCCGTGGGGCGCTACGATGAAGCGCTCCTCCAGGGACGGCGAGAGGAGGCGCGCCGCCTCTTTGCCAGTTTCCAGGAGATATCAAAGGCAGTGGAGACGCTGAGGATACGTGGACACTCCTCCACCAGCTGGCGAAGCGATCAAGGAGGCCATGCCGTCCATCGTGGACCTCGAGCAATACCTCTCCTAGCCGCTCTTGGAGGAATCGCCAGTCGAGGAGGGCCAGATAGCTCTCGGGCCCGCCGAACAGCACATCAGCACGCACTGGGTGAAGAGTTGCAAGCTTGCCAAGCAACACCGAGCCGCCTTCGAGAAGATGGTGAGTCTTGCTTGCAGACCGGTGCCAAGATCGACGTGGCGAGAGACAAATTGGTTGATGCCTTTCGTCATTGCGATTGTTTTGAACGTTGCGGTTCTGGCAGTTCATTCTGGGACGCTCGACTTGGAGATGGTACCAGTTTGCTCGGGAGCATATCACTACCAAGGTTGACGGATCCTGCGAACGCGGTCCGATCGCATGCCCGACAGGACAGCGGTGGTCTATTGATGCGTCGGTAACGAGTGTCAGGGGCATGAGGCGGGACATCGCCCTCGCCGGCAGCAAGATACCAGACCTTCAGAGAGCGTGCCATGGTGCCGACCTGGCAGCCCTCGCTTCTATCTGGACTGAGCGTGGCGTGTAATTGCTGTAGCTCACACTCTCCAGCGCCGACGGCGCTTCTGGAGTTTACTACGAGGGAGAGCGCCGCCGTTGCAGCTGCGCTCACCATGTGGTTCACATGTCGTCAGATGTCGGCCCCGAGATTGATTTGGATTCGTGCATCTTCGGGATGGAGGTCGATCGTGAGCGACGCGTGAACTATCCCGAGGTGCGTGCCCATTGACAGTGGCGCCAGGATGAAGGCAGCTCCTACGCTACCAAGCTTTGGGCTCACATTGCCGCGATGAGAGAGATTTATGACAAGGTCCAGGAGAAGGAGTCTGTCTTTGGATGTCGCAAGCACTGCAAACGCACTGTCGTGGCGCCTCTCACGGCGAAGGCGACCCCAACTGCATGTCCGAGTGCGCGCGCATACTCGGATGGCTCGATCGAGGACGCCGACCTGAAGATGGCAGGTCTTGGATCTCTCCGTCCAGCATTCGTTCGAAAGAAGAAGCGATGGATTCCGCGGTGGCCCATCGAGCTCAACGCATCAGCCCGTCTCTTCGAGCGGACTGGGGCTCCCTACTGGCCGACCAGTTGCGCGCCGAAGAGCTTCGCGATCGAGATGGGGGGGGGGGGGGGGCGGGGGGGGGCGCGGGCGGGGGGGCTCTCCTAGTAGCACTTCTCCAGATGTCCGTGTTCATGTGGCTGGATCGGGAACGCGTCATGGGTCACTGGAGGGATGCACTGCGTAAGAAGCAGGTGAAGCTCTGAGGCGTCGGCAACGGTTTCAGGCGGGGGAAAAAAAAAGGTGGGAGCTCTGTTTGTTATTTATATTTCAGCCTAACCTCCTGCTGTGCCTCGCTCTCACCTCCCTTGCCCTGCGGCTGCGTTGGCTCGCAGGGCCTTTGAGTTACTTGGTGCGCTGGCCGCGGGCGCGCGCGAGCCTCCGTGACAAGGAATAACGTGTTCTCTCTTAGCTCGGGCCCCGTTAATTGTACTTCGTATCTCTCTCTCTCTATTCTACGCAGTTGCTCCTGTGCACTCCGCAGTTCTGGTGGTGGTGATGGAGGTGATGATGGCGGTGGTGATGATCCTGATGAGGGTGGTGATGATGTTGATGGTGATTGTGACGGTGATGGTGATGAGGGTGATGGTGGGGATGCTGCCGGTGACGGTAATGATGCTGAGTAGGGTAGGGAGGATGATTGGTATGATTGGCTGATTGATGGTTTTATTGACGAATCGATTGGTGCTTGGTGATGCTTGTTGGTGATGGTGATAATGATGAGGGTGCTGCTGATACTGATGCTGACGATGATCATGCCGATGCTTCTGCTGATGATGAAGGCGGTGGGGTTGACGATGATGGTGATGCTGCGCATGATGATGATGATGGATTGTTGCTGGTAATGGTGGTGGTGATGGTGGAGGTGAAGATGATGATGGTTTCTATGACGGTTTTGATAATGATGGCGATGCTGATGATGACCCCGGCGGTGGAGATTGTGATGGTGATAGTGATGGCGTTGACGATGGTAATGATGTTGGTGATTGTGCTGATGGTGGTGGTGGTGGTGGTGGTGACAATGGTGATTCTGGTGGTGGTGATGAGGCTGGTGGTGTTGGTGCTGCTGATGCTGATGGTGGGGATGAGGGGGATGATGCGGATGGTGATGGGGAGGAAAAAAAATGAATCTGAGGACCCGGATGATGATGCATGATGTTTCATTGATTGATTGATTCGTCCATTGATGATTCCGTTCGGCGATGATGGTGGTCATGGTGGTGATGGTGGCGGTGGTGGTGGTGTGTGATGGTGATGATGATGGTGATGGTTGTAATGATGGTGACGGTGATGGTGACGATCCCGATGATGAGTGTGATGATGGTGGTGGCGGTGATGATAATGGTGATGCTGCTGATGATGAAGCTGGGGATGCTGATGGTGACAGTGGTGGTGATGGTGATGGTTGTAATGATGCTGATAGTGATGGCGAAGGTGATTGTATTTTTGATGATGATGATGCTGATGCTGATGATGATGTTTCTGCTGATGGTTGTGTTGATGATGATTATGATGCTTATGCTGATGATGATGATGATGATGATGATCATGATGGTGATGGTTATGTTGATGTTGATGGTGATGTTGATGATTGTTCTCCTGATGGTGCCGATTGTGATGATGGGGATGCTGCCGATGATGGCGATGTTGATGGTAATGGTGATGGCGATGATGAGGATGGGGATGAGGACGAGGAGGATCATGATTGATTTATTGATTGATGATTTGTATTTGTGGTACATGGTTGATGATTGGTGATGATGATGCTTGTGGTGGTGATGATGAAAATGAGGACGGTGATGACGATGATGATGATGGTGGCGGTAGTGATGGTGATGCTGCTTATGATGATCATGATGATGACCTGGAGGAGGAGGAGGAGGAGGAGCAGGAGGAGGAGGAGGAGGAGGCGGGAACGGAGGGATGCGGGGGAGGTTGTTGTGTTCCTCTTCTCTCCTGCGGGGTGGTGGTGGCGGCAGAAGAATGCCTGGTTGTTTTGCAGGTGGTTGCTTCGCCTGTGGGAGGTTTCTGCGGGCGAGTGCGTGAACCCGTCAGCAGCAGATTGGTGCAGAGGACAATCAAGAGGACAGAAAAGCATTAGGAGGATATGTAGAGGATGAGATAGAGAGGGTGATGATTCACTTGGCAATGATGCAGTTCAGGAGGAGGAAGGTGGGGGAACGGGGATTGGTCAATCACGGGAGTGTCAGGAGATCGCCGAGTTCCAGGCCGAGCAGACGAAGGAGAAGGAGGCTCGACCGGATGAGCGTCGGGGGCAAGGTGTGGTGAGAGCACGGCGTTCAAGGGTTTTTTATTGCGGGGTCGGGACCACGGGGGTGTGTTCACCCCAATGGCATGCATGGTTGTGTTAGTGTGTGCCCCCCCATCGACACACGCCCGGTGGTAATCAGCTCGGTGCAGCCCCCCCTTGTTTAGTTGGACCGACCAGTTGCGAAGTATGAGTGTGTGTGTGTGTGTGCGTGTGTGTGTGTGTGTGCGCGCGTGAGTGCGTGTGTGTGTGTGTGTGAGTGAGTGAGTGAGTGAATGTGTGTGTGTGTGTTTCTGTGTGTGTTTCTGTGTGTGCGTGTGCGTGTGCGTGTGCGTGTGCGTGTGCGTGTGCGTGTGCGTGTGCGTGTGCGTGTGCGTGTGAGTTCGTGTGTGCGTGTGTGTGTGTGCGTGTGTGTGTGTGTGTGTGTGTCCGTAGCTTTGGCCCGTAGCCATATCGGGATCTCCCCACCCTCGGCCCAAGGCCCCTCGTCGAGGCCGCCCGCACCAAGGCCTCGGCCCCGGCGCGGGGTCTGCGCTTCAGGCACTTCGGCACACTTTCTCTCACACTGTACCTGCTACTGTCCTTGTCATTCGACCCTCATTGTCCCAATGTGTGCGAGAATGCTTGGAGCCTGTCGTGGGATGTGCTGCGCAGTATGCTGCCGCGTGCGCTGGCAAGCAGTGCCGATGGCGTCCACACTGGCACGCCGATCGTCTACTTCTCATGCTGCCAAGCCTGCGCCGTTTTGTGGACATCAGTACAGCCGTGCCTTTCGTCTATGTCTCTAGCTGCCCCAGCCAATGCCTGCGTGGGCATCAACACCGCTGTGCCGTTCGTCTTCCTGGGAGGTAACGCGTGTTACCCCCTCTGACCCCCCATCAGCAATGGTACCGCTTGCAAGCCGGGCACAAGCGTGAATCCGTGCACTTCCCAACGGACAATGTAAGGAGTACGCTGGCGTTCCGGCGCACCCGCGCATCGGCGCGCACGCGCGGCCTGTGCATTGCGGTATACATGGGCGCTGCGGTGCACGACGGCATTGTGGCGTACGCGTATGTTCCGCACATGGCTACTGGTGGTGTGCAGAGGCGCCGCGGTGTCCACAGGCGTTGTGATGCGCGGAAGCGGTGTCATGTGCACAAGCATTGTGGTGCACGCGGTTGATGTGGTGGACACAAGCGTTGTGGTGTGCGCAAGCGCTGCGGTGTAGCCCAACGATATCAGAGAAGGAGGGGCAGGACGACGAGAAGGCGGAAGGGGGGTAGGAGGTGGGGCGGGGGAGGGGGCCATATTCAGATAACAGCATATTCACAGTTTGGGGGCCTGAATGTGAGGGGGGGCGGGTGCCGGCTCTCGTTGTCGTTCGTCGTTGCCTCTGGCCGCTGGCAGTTCGCTAGCGCAGAGTAGGCGCGACGGCGGCCCCAGCGCGGTCATTCAAGGTTGCGACGCGCACGGGGGGGGCCTTTCGGGCTTGAGGATTTCAGAAACGAGCCCGCGGTGAGAAATCATGGTCCGAAATTGGACCGAAAGTTTCCGTTTGTGCAGGTCGTTCAAGATTGACGATCCATTCTGTGTTAAAAGCCAATCTCTAATGCGTCATGACGCGGACCTGCCGTAGAGCCGACGCCCCACGTTTTCCTACGTTTGCCTATTTTTAGTTCCCCCCCCTCTTGGCGGGTCTTGGGGACGTTGAAAAGGATTCGGGCTGGCGAATTCGTTTTGTTGGCGCCCCAGGACCTTTTTTCCTTCGGGGCATGCACTCGTTCGTGGGGGGCGGCAAAGACAGGTTGGGGAAAGGGGGGGCCTCAGGTGCAGCTGTTGGCTCAGGCACTTGCGTGGGTGCCGATGCCATGGCCTGGACCCCAGGCGGCTTGGTCTTCGCTCGCATCGTGGGAGGCGAATGCGGCAGGAGGCAAGCCGTCAACGTGGGAGGCCGAGTGATCGAGTGCCACGAAAACCACGTCTCATTGGCTGTCCCAGCGTTCGCTGCCAGAGTCATGGGTGGAGTTTCGTACGAGGCGGTCGTGACCGACCGCAGTGGAACCGATGTGCACGTCGGCTACGTAGTGGTGCCGAAGAAAAGGCTCAAGGAGGAACCGCCCGAGTCATGGTTGGACGACTGCATGCACTTCGGAGAAAACGAGGTCGAGCTGGAAAGGCTTGAGTCAGGTTTGGCGACGGCGGGCGGCGTCCTGTTCACTTCGACCAAGGACGCCGAGGCGGGCCCAGCCCTTGCGCAGCCACAGGGAGCGTCGAGCGTTGGGCTAGTGGCGGCCGCTGCTGGCCTGCGGGCAGGCGTGGGGGCTAGGTCGGCCGGCTTGGGTCTGCCAGGATTCGACCAGCTCATAGCGAGGGCTGCGAGACGTTTGCGCCAGACCGAACCCGCCGCCGAGGACCACAGCTCGTCTGGTTCCGAGTCCGAAGTGGGCTGTCGGCCAGGTCGGGTCGTTGCAGAGGCGATGTGATCGGGCCGAGCCGCCGACGGCAGGAGCGAGCGGCGCCGGCAGTTCTCGTCTTGCGACGAGGAGGCGCCGCCGCGCCCGGCCGCCCCTCGGGGGGCCAGCGGCAGCGGGCGCGCGGACCCAGGGCGGCGGAGGCCGCAGCGGCGGTGGCCGGCCTCGACCTGAAATTGCAGCTGAAGATGCTGGAGGTGATCGAGCGGTCCGAGACGGGCAGGGGCAAGGCCAGGTCGTTGGCCGACGTGGGCGAGACGAACGGGCGGCTCGGGCAGCGTCTGCAAGGCCGGCAAGGCCGCGCGGGGCATGCGACGTCTGAGGAGGGTCAAGCATCACCTCTCGCGGGTGGCGAGGGCCATCAGAGGCGAGGTCGAGCGGGCCCTCGGAGCGCAGCGCGGCGTGGCGCGGGCCCACCTGGGCTACGCGAAGCAGCACGTAAGCTCTACGTCCTGAAGAAGACGCGCGCGATGCTCGCGGCCATGCAGGAATACATGGGCAACGAGATGCTTGACCAGGCGCGCGGGCAGCTGGTCCAGATCATGAAGGCGCTGGATCAGGTGGCCATCAACGTAGGGCTCGTGGAAGGCGGCTTGGCCCCTCTCGGGCCCAGTCGACCCCCGCGGCTTCGCCGGGGGCGAGTTCGAGACGGAGGCGGCGGCGGCCCGCGGCCTGCGTCGCGGAGCTGGAGGCGCTCGCGTCGAAGATTGGGCAGCAAGGCGCAGCGGCAGGCAGCCCCGACGACTCGGGCCGCGCGGGGTGGGCTCGCGCGGGAGCGGGCAGGCCGCGGGCAGGCCGCGGTCAAGGACTCGAGGCCGCGAGGCCCGGGAATGGCACAATATATCAGGAGCCCGGGGTCCTGCGCTGGAGGGCTGGGAACTTGGCCTCGGGGGCCTTGAGACGGGGGTCAGTGCGAACGGGGGTCAGCCACAGCGCCGGATCCTGCGGGATCCCGCAGTGACAGGGTCGCATTGACCCAGGCTTGGGTGTAGGATCCTGCAGGATCTTGCGGGATCCTTCGCATGGACCAGGGTCTGGGCGCAGGGGTCTGCAGGGTTCTGCGTGGCCTGACCGACGGGTCTGGATTGGCCCGGGTCAGAAGATCCACGACGGCTGCGCGCCGAAGCCGGCTCGGCGCCCCGAGCTGGGAAGCGGGGGGCCCGGGCGCCCGCCGCAATCGGCGCGGCTCGTTCGCCAAATTTTTCGGCATCCGCCAGGGCCCCTTCAGCGCAAGCGTTGCTTGGGGGCACGGGAAACAATGCAATCGCGGCGCGCGCCTTTCCGCGCGCCCATGTGTTCGCCAGGTCGGGGGGGCCTTTGCGGCGGGAAGAATGCGACCCTTCCGCTCTGGCCCCCCCGCTGGCCGGGGAAGGCCGCGAACGCGGCTGTGTTCGCGGCCGATTGGCCGTTAACGCGGCCGCGTTCGCGGCGATGCGCGGGTTTCGAAAACGCGGATTCTTCCATTGGTTTTGCAAGGGATCGCTGTTAACGCGGCCGCGTCAACGGCGACGTGCAGGGTCCAGAGCAACATTTCTATATATAAAAATCGTTTTGTTTAATCGCCGATAAGACGGCCGCGTTAACGGCGATGCGCGGGGCTCGACAACATCTATTTACATGAGCTTTTCAAGGGGTCGCCGTTAACGGGGCCGCGCCGACGGTCGCCTGGCTTTTCGCGCTGCCGCGTTGACGGCGAGTCTTTTTGAATGTCGAAATCATGTGTATATATATATGTATACACACATGTATATGTACGACACACACACACGAAACAACATCAATGTAGTTGTTAGTCCCGCGCGTCGCTGCTAACGCGGCCGCGCCAGCGGTCGCCCGACCGCTAACGAGGCCGCGTTGACGGTCAAGCGGCCGTTGACACGGCCGCGCCAACGGCGATTCTTTGAAGAAGTAATGAAACGCCAGTGCTCTCTGGGCTCCGCGCGCAAGCGTGAACGTGGCCGCATTCGCGGCCGGGTTGCTGCGGGCGCGGCCGCGCTCGTGGTCAGGTGGTCGTGGGCGCGGCCTCCTTGGGCCATCGCGGTGCTTTTTTGGGGCCAAGTTGGAGGCTTTTGGGCCCCTCTTGGTGCCCTCTCGAAGCCCTCCTGGGCTCTCGGGGCCTGATGGGTCCTCTCGGGGCCCTCTTGGGAGCTTCCTGGGCCCTCCTGGGGATCTTCGCGGGCCGTCTAGGGGCGCTCTTACCGGTCTGTTGGGGCCCTCTTGGCGGCCTTGAGGGAGGGCGTTTCAACCGCCGATGTCAACGAAGGGGGGCACTCAGAAAGCGCCCCCCCGTCGGGGACCGAACGTGAACCCCCCGGGGACTCTTGGGCCCCTTCCGGGGCGGTCTCGGAGCCTTCCCGGGCCCTTCTTGGGCTCTTTTGGGCCGCGTGTGAGCCATCTCGAGGCTTCGAGAGCCCGTCGGACGTGAAAAGGCGAGAAGGCTAACATTGAAAGCACAAAGTGGTTTTGAATGGGTCGGGCCCCTTGGGGGCCTCATTGGGGGGCCTGGGGGGCAACTGGGGCCGTTCAGGGGCGGTTTGAGGGCGCTTGCAAACATCTTGGCAGCTGCGTTGTACGATCTTGGGGGTGTCTTGATCGATCTTGGAGGCTATGTGGAGCTCTCTGAAGCCCTCTTGGAGTCAACTTGGGCCATCGCGGGCGCTCTAATTTCTCGCGAAACGCCCCGTCCAGACCCATGGGGGAGGGGCAGGGGGAAGGGGGGGCCGTCTCCGAAGGGAAAGAACGGCCCCCCAAACCACTCACGCCCTGCATGGCTGGCGTGATTTTTCACGCTTCGTGCGTCCCCGCCAACCCATCTCCAAAATAGCCAAGTGGAGAGTTGCCCTGATCTGGGATGCGTTGCCGCTTGCAGCGCAGCAGTTGAGCGCATCCGTCCTCGTAGATTTTACTTTGTCGAACGAAGAGGAGGTGGAGGACGAGACAAATATAACGGGGAGGAGGAGGAGAGGGACAAGGAGCAGGTGGAGCAGGAGGAGGAAGAAACGGCGGAAGCGGAGGGGGGGCGGGAGGATCGACGACGACGACGACGACAGGAGTCAAAATCAATACCCCTGCGATCTGTCGTTCCGGGGGCGTCTTGAATGCGTCTCGGGGCCATCGTCGCGTCCTCCTGGGGGCGTTTTTGGGAGTCAGGACGTGGTAGACCATTGTCGGTAATATCAGACGTTCCGCTCTGCCACCTATGTGTCCCCATTGCTCGCTCGGACGCTCTGCCTTTAGGTGTCTGTCTGCAGTGTTCGCTCGTGCGACCTGCCACATATGCGCCCGCATTCGGCGTGCTGTTATGCCGCGCCGATGCGGCGTTGCAGTTGCAGATGCGATGCTCAACCGAGTTGCCTTGGTCTGGTGAGGGAAGTACATTAGCGCGCACCTTAACAGAGAGGGGGCACCAGACGCAACATCACTAAGTGCTGCTGGTCCAGTTCTCCAGCGTGCGCTACGCCTCCCTCGTGCTGTTTTCCCTCGCTCCTCTCCTCATCGTTTTCCTCCTCTCCCTCCCCGTCTTCCTCCTCGTGTTCATCCTTCCCTCCCCCCTCCCCTATATGCCTCTTGTCCTCCTCCTTTTCGTCGTCGTCCTCCTCCTCCTTCTCCTCGTCCTCCTTGTGTTCCCCCTCCTCTCCCGCCCCCTCGCGGAACCCGCTCCTTCTTGACTTCCTCTTCCTTCTTGTCTTCTTGCCCCTGTTGCGCATCGTTTCGCTCTGGCCCGCTGGCCCGCGCGGGGCGTCGCAGACGCGTTCTTACCCGCTTCGCGGCGAGCGGCCGCGCTGCCGCCGCTGCCGCCGCCGCCGCCCCTTGCCCAATTTGCCCCTTCCCCCCGTCCCCGCCGCCCCGCGTCGATCGCGGCGGGCGCTTCCGCCGCCCCGCGCCCCCGCCGACCAAGCCCTATCCGGGGTGGCGAGGGCGGGCGGGAAACGCGCGGGGGAACTGCGGAACCAACGTAGGGAACGGGAGCTATGGAGGTCGAGCGCGTGCGGGCGAAAACCTGATAGAAACTGCAGCGGCGCAGTTTTCGGCGATCGTTGCGCGCTTCGTTCGAGCGCCCGCGTGCTCGCCCCTCCGCGCACCCGGCGCCGCGCCCTACCTATCCCCGAGAGTTCCACCGTGCCCGCGCCCGCGCAACTTCTCCTTGCCGCCCCCCTCTTGTTGGAGGCTCGGCCTCCAGTTGCCTGTCAGACGCCGCGACCGTTCTTCTTTGCCGCCCCCTTCTGGGGGGGGCTTCGCCCCCGTCCTCCTCGCCCCTCTTCTGCCCCGTCGTCGCCGCCGCCGCGCCGCCCCGCCCCCCCCCCCCGAGGACAACCCCAGGGCGCGGCCTCCCGGGGATGCCCGATCCTGCGAGCGCGCCGGCGAGGGCTTCCCGCGGGGGTCGGCCTCGCTCGGCCGCCCCGTGGCCCCTCCTGCTCCCTCTTGCCTCGCGTTGTGCCTCTTCGCCCCTCGTCGCCTCCCTCCTTGGCTGTCTCCTCCCCCGCTCCGTGCCTTGTCCTTTCCCTTGTGCGTGCGCGCGCGTGCCCGCGCGCGTGCGCGCGTGAGCGCGGGCGCGCTGTGTTTTTCCATTCCTTCGGTTCCCCTCTCCCGTCGGTCGGCTTTTCCCCGTCGGTTGCGTCTGTCCGCCCCCCCCCCTGTCGGCTGTCCGATTTCGCACCCCGCTCCTCGATTCTCCCTCGCTTCGCTTGGCCGTCATTCCCCTGTCTTTGCCACCTGTCATCCGAATTCTGGGCGGCTGGAGTTGTTGGCCGGAGTTTCTGATCGCGCCCGCCCCCTCGCCCGACAGTGCGCGAAGCGTCCTGCGCTCTGCTGTTCGCCGTGAAGCCGGACGCTGTCCTTTCGCTCCCGCCCTGTCTTCCCGCCGACGCTGCGCGCGCGCGGCCCTGGCCGCGCGGGCGTCCGACGCCCTGGCCCCGGGCGAGTCGCCAAGCCGCAACGATCGAATAGCGTGCGTGTTTGTGTGCGCGTGTGCGTGAGTGCGTGCGTGTGTTTGTTTGTTTGTTTCTTTGTTTGTTTGTTTGTTTTTGTGTGTGTGTGTGTGTTCGTGTGTGTGTGTGTGTGTGTGCGTGTGTGTGTTTGTGTGTGTGTGTGAATGTGTGTGTGTGTGTGTCTGTGTGTGTTTGTGTGTGTGGGCGTGCGCGTGTGTGTGTGTGTGTGAATGTATGTGTGTGTGCGCGTGTGTGTGTATTTGTCTGTGTGTGTGCGTGTGTTTGTGCGTGTGTGTGCGTGTGTGTCTGTGTGTTTGTGTGTTGGTGCGTATGCGTATGCGTGCGTGCGTGCGTGCGTATGCGTGCGTATGCGTGCGTGCGTGCGTGCGTGCGTGCGTGCGTGCGTGCGTGTGTGTGTGTGTCTGTGTGTTTGTACGTTGGTGCGTGCGTGTGTGTGCATGCGTGCGTGCGTGCGCGCGTGTGTGTGGTGCGTGCGTGTGTGTGCATGCGTGCGTGCGTGCGCGCGTGTGTGTGCT